TGCAATCTTCTTTATTCCAAGAGAGTTTACTTCTGTGTAGTTGCTGTTGTATTAGGGTTGACTTTTTGTGGTAGGGACTAGGGGTTATAAGGGTTCTTGAAAATAGTATAGGTGTTATTGGTAGAACTGGGTTTAGTAGGTAGTCTGTTTCTTTTGTATTCAACTTCCAAAGCTAGCTGGTGTAACTTCGTTTGCCTATAGGCTGTTGCCAAAGTTTGAGGCTTGCTAGCCTTAACTCTTGGTTTGAGATCTTCCTTTATGTCACTTATAAAATTAGATACAAAATATAACTCATCCAAATTGAGGTTATTCTGAAGCATGAATGGCCTACGCTCTTCAAATTTCTCTTGATATTCTTTTATTGTGCTTTTTTGAATCAGCTTGTTGAATTCCTCAATCATTTCTGAATAAGTCATGTCATAAAATCTTTGGCAAAGATCATTAAAAAATTCCTACCATATAAATCTTGGTTTTTACATCAAGTATCCATCAAACTATATTTCTATTCTGCTAGCTAAATACATAGCAACTATCTACATTTTCCTATGACTTGACACTCAAAAAATGGTAAAATACCTCTGACATTTTCTTAACCATCTTTTAAAATTCCCACCTTTGAATAATAGAAGTAAGATTTTTTGTCGTGAGGAAAAACATTTAAGCCTTAAGGGTAGTTGGTCCCATATAAAGTTTCAATATGTTTGCCTGCCATTATGCTATTATGTATATTATTAAGGTTATTGTCTAACTGAAGTTTTGGTAATAACCCTGGATCATCAGTCCTATAGCTAAAATTATTATATTCATTAATAATAGTTATCTCAATAGGATTTTTACCTTTACTATTGGTTTGCACCAATGGAGCCAAATGAGAACTACCAACATGCTATTTTCCTCCTGGATTTGGTTAGGTTGAAGATTTTTCTTTTTACAGTAAGGATTCTAGCATCTTGATCAAACTATTGTGATTTTCAACCATCTTGATTTCCAACTCTCTTTTTTTTATTTTCTTATAGTTTTGACATAAAAGTCTGTGTTACCTTCATGTCCTCCAACTACGTCAAGATATTATGGACCTATTCATGTAAGCTATTCAACCGAATGCCTTCAATCATGGAGAGATGTTTTTTGCTCTTTCTCAGCATTGATATGAGATTGCAATAGGCTTTAATACCAATTTTTCACGACTCAGTTGTGACTTGGTTAGGGTTTTAAAGATTAAGAAGAGAATAGAGGAGAATTGAAAAGACTTAAGAGAGAACAGAGAAGAATTGAGGAGACTAAGAAAAAAATAGAAAAGGATTCAGAGAAAAAATTATCTTTTCATTCCTGAAAATCAGTTACAGCTATAAATTATTTAAATAAAGCTATTATAGAACTGTCATGCAAACTGTAAAATATAAATTTGCAGAGTATTATTGGCCAATAAATTACTAACTGACCACGACCCTAATATATTAATAACTAATATCACCATCTTCTGCCATAGTCTTATTTATGCCGCTATTGCTCTTTTCCATCAAGTTCATTACATGAACCAACTGTTTTATGTGATTAATTGAACTTATCCCATACAAAAAACTTCTACATAAATGAATGCACAATATTTGGAGACACTATTTTGAACATATGTTTACATCATCTTTTTCACGAGTGTTGTTAGAGCTAAGCCGTTGAACTCCTAAAAGCAGCTACACTTTACACTCACATAAACAGATCCTACCGAAAGTGCCCATAACTGAAACACTTAACACAAATCTATTATGGTCTATTAAAAGTATAACTTCATCATTCCCTCACCATTATAGTTAGCAAGCAGTTTACTTGGGATAAAAATATTAGATTATAATGCTTGCTACCACATACAAATGATGTGTTTTGTCTCATTGAATTAAAGACTTAACGTTATATCAAGCATCGAGTCAAGTTTACATCATGAGTGACTTCATATTATAGGCTCGAATCTTATCCCCAAAATCCTAACATAACTATGTTAATTTTTCATACCACATGATGAAACTTTTATTCATAGTTAATATCTTAAAGGTTTATAAGACCAACATCCCACTATGTATGTATATCAATTCTTTAAAGAAATCTCTTTTCATATCCTTTACAATTGTCATAAATTCTTTTAGTTCATAGTGACCACTTTATCTTTATTTTGTCATGATGGTTTCACATTTGTCCATTTTATATTTTTTTTATATTCCAATAAATTAATGTCATTGCCACCAAATTATGAACCATACATCATATAATTTTTTTTTCACCAAGTAAATTATTACAAAGAGGCTTCAAATCCCTTAAGACAATTTTTTTTTTATATTTTTCTTGTAACTTCTTATTATAGTTAATATAAGACTTGTAACTTATTGTGTATATATAATTGAATAACATGATTTTTCGTTAACAAATCACATATATACACAAAGATGTTTCACATATCTTTTTAGAACATAGTCATACTAGACGGTCATGAACAGACCTATTAAATGGCTGTCAGAATTAATATACGTGCACATTTTATCATGAACATTATTAATTATTTTTATGGTCATGATCAAAACCATGTTCATTATTCAAATAGATCAAATAACATTTATTTTGCTATTTTAGAAGTTTTCATTTTCATAAATATATATATTTTTAATCAATCATAACTTTCAAAGTAAATATAATTTTAAGCTTTCATTATAACTCAAAACCATGAGATGATAAATTATTTATACAAGTTATGATTGTTATCAAATAAAATTGCAATATAAAATTTATGCAAACGCTGCCAGAGAAACTCTTTGTGTAGTTATGCAAAGAAAGAATTTTTAAACTTATCAAAAACACTAATCATAGCACCTTCTCCTTGAATAAATGATCGCCATGAATAACTCGTTTAATGATCTATTCCAAAGCTTAAGGCTTTTTATGGTACCTTCTCCAATAACTCATTTAGTAGTCTATTCCAAGGCTTAAAAGTCAACATCATTTATTAAGCCAAGACATTAATGTTTCATATTTTCGTACTGATATAAAAACTCATGGACATGAAATTGTTATCACCTTTATCGAAGGTATTGCTCATTCCAATGGCATTGTTACTTTCGTTATATGTTTGACCAGTGGTAACGTGTGCTCACTTTTGTTTTAGGATTGTCACATTGACATGAAAAAATTATTCTCTTTCATAGGTGTCAACAATAGTCAATAGACATAATGTTTTCATCCCCTTTGTTATAAGCAAGACCATTAATATTTTACCGTCTTTCACCTTGTTGTAAGCATGAGCTGTTGACACAGTTATTATCCACAGTATCTTATGCATGTTCCATTGATACAGACGTGACATTCTCAAGTCCATGACCTTACTGATAACCAAAATATGGGATCTGCCATGGATAAACCAAATGAAAAATCATTTGAAAATAAATCTTCACTAACCTTTCTCCCCAATGTCAACTTTCTCTATGCTAACTGATTGAATACTCTAATCGTCATAGTTCACATTCTAAACTGTTTTAGAATTAAATAATTGTACAACGAGTTGCCCAGAAATTGAATGAAAACTGGAAGCATTTCTCCACAGAAAAACATTTGAATTCATACTTGTGAACTTTTCTAGCTTTTGTTTTACGTACAAACTTTTTGTAAGTTGTTTTTCTATATCTTTCAAAAATAAAAAGAGTTTTATCTATAACAAAATAGATATCTCTTTATATAAACATATCCGTTCATAAATATGTCTATTTGTATAAGCACAACTTGTTGTAAAATAAAACTCTTAGTAAATAATTATCTTTTTTAAAAAAACATAACCTTTCACCATCACATGTGCGATTCATGTGATTTATTGTTTTGAAGATGTTCCAAGAGGTATTAATAGAGTTCCAGAAAATAAAAGGAAGTTTCAGATTCACAAGCTGGGAGCCAAACCAAGTTTCCATGGAAGGAGTTGAAGACTGAAAAGGCTGATGCTATATTAATAAAAGAGGAAGAGATATTAGAGAAGGATTTGCCAGAAGAGGGAGAGATCATTGAAGAAGACAGTGACAGTATAAGTAGGATTCGCTAACCAATTCTTTGTCAACTTTACAATCATTGTGTGGACAAAGAGTCAGCCAAGGAATGACTAACAACTTTGCTCATCGAGGTAAATTGGCCTTGTTTTTTTGCTCAAACGGATGACAAGAAGAAAGGGGAAGCTAGTCCAGGCTCAATAATGGACGAAAGTCATAAAACTCACCACCAATATCAAAACTGCGGGAAGACAGTCCAAACTTGTCAGTCCCTTAGCAACCATAAGAGCTGCCTTCAAATGGAAACTGCAGAAGGTCCATTTAGCAGCGTTACATTAATGCAGGAAGAAGTGAAGGAGATTGATTTTGAAGGAGAACCAGCAGGAGAAGACAGTACTGGATTTGATCACAAAGACTGCCCCTCACCTGAAGCTAATAATCAGGCTGGTACTAAGAGCATGTTACATTTTGATCTCATTCTTCCTTGTGAAGAATAAATTCAATCGACACTTTTGTCTTTTCCAAGATATCTTTCTTCTTTTTAATTCAATCTTTGTGAATTAGAACTTTTTCTCAACCTAATAGTTGGTATTTTTTTTAAACTATAGCACTTATGATTATTGTAATATAATTAATTAATTCAGTTTAAAATTTTAAAAGTCTTATCAAAATTTTATATGAACTGCACACCTATAAGTGATGAATATCTAAATGATTAGACAATTGTAAAATTATAATAAAAAGACTTGCAGATGAAATGCTCTTTATTTTTATCATGTGGTATATTAAACACATTCAAAAAATTTTCTTAATTCCTTTTTCAACTTTGGCTGTTTAGATTTATACGCAGAAATCAAATTATATTTGAAATTTTTTGTGCATGAAAATTGTTACCCTGAACTGAAGAGAGTTTGAAAATTATAGTTTCCCTCACAATTACAAATTAGTATTTTCTCCGAGTTCTTTTTTCCGTATAGCATTCAAAAGTGAACATCCGCAAACAATGCTTGGATTGACTCACTAAAATAATTTCTGTCAAATAGAATATTAATCCAAATTTTGGAACATCCTGCTAATCCTTATCAACCATAGTTATATAATTTCAACAAAATTTTATGGGGCAGATAAAGCAAGGCAGTTTCCAAATATTCAATAATGCATGGGAGAACTGCAAAAGAAGCTACCATTAAGCCAAGTTACAAAGAGTAGAAGTACACCTTGAATGACCAATGCGCTCAAACGTTACACGAACTAAGTAAAGCTATTGTATCCAAAATTTTGACTCTCAGCATTGCAAATAATTAAAGGCAAAAAGCAAAGGAAAAAAGAAAGAAAATTTCCAAGGCATTGTCACCTGCCGGCTATGGTGCCTTCTGCGTGATATAATGAAGGGGTGAAACTATATTGCAGCTGAACTCTCCCCACACATAAGTACATGATGCTTCAAGCAAGTACAGAGGTAAGAATCCACTCTATGCATGATTGTAATGATGCAACTTGTATAATAGCACTTTGCCAGCAGCATTTCCAACAGCCATGAAACCACCACCAGGACTGAAATCCAAGCAGCGGGGATAATGTAAGTTCTTATTCGGTGGAGGCCAATTAGAGTACACAGTAAATGATGGAACATGTATCAGCTTTAAACTGTTCTTCTTCATGGTAGAACAGATAGCCAGTATTTGAGCATCACTATTAAACTTCAAAAAATCCACTTTGGTCGTTAGATTCTCAATAGTCTTGATTGGTTTTCTTTTACCTCCCAAAAATTCATCCCTGTTGTAAATGTTCACTATCCCACTGTCTGAACCAGCTGCAAACATTCTTCCATTAGTTGATGTGCAAAGAGCAGTACCGTTAATGCAGCCTTCATCAACAGCCTTATGGAAACAAGTTCTTGTTCTCAAGTCCCAGTTGTAGACCTGTCCATCCCCACCAGAGCTCAATAATTGTTTCCCATCATCAGCAAAAGCAAGAGAACGGACCGTTCCATTCATTTTAAGTGTTCCAATCAGTTCCTTTGTTTTGGATGAAACCAACAAGACATAACCTTCATTTCCCAAAAAAGCAATAGTACTAGAATCTGGGGAAACCTCAAAAACTTCCAAGCTTTTTTCCTCTCTACCAACCAATGGCCCTATTTTATCAACTTTTGCTTTCACTAAATCAAAACAGTAGAAGAACTTCCTCCTCCCTGCTATAATGACCTGAGAACCATCAGGTAAGAAAGATGCCTTTCGAACAGGACAATCTTCAAGAAAGATGCTTTGTATCTTAGTATTTCGTTTACCATCAATCTGAAAAAACCTTATCCTCCGATCTAATCCAGCAGCAAGTAGTAACTGAGCATTCCTATGGAACTGAACTGAATTTATCAGACCATTAGAAGGTTCCTCAGCATTTCCATCAACTAGTCTTGAATACTCAAGAAGCCCTGGCAACAATTTAACCCCACTCTTCACCACAAGATCTTCATTTGCTCTAAGAATATCATCATCAACTTCAACATTTCGGTAACCACCAGCTGCTACTACAACCTTTTCTTCATCAGATGATTCATCATCATAAAGACTATCGTTCCTTAACCCTGAATCTAGCTCTGCCCATTCTGTCGCTGGGTTCAGCTTAGCATGCTGAGCCCGCAATCTAGAAATATATTCTGAACCAGAAATCACACTCTCATCCTCTTCCTTCCTCAACTTCCTCAACCTATTAACCTTAGCTATGTTTATTGTGGTTCGTTCCTCCTCCTCATCCACCCAAACAGCTTTCCTTTCCTTACTCTTTTCTTCAAAATCAATTTCCTCAGAAAATTCCATATTATTCATGGAACGGTCCAAAAAGAACAAAGCTGAACCATCTTCAGCAGCATCTTGAGCATTTTCCTCACCTTTACCAAATTCAACAGGGGAATATATGGACCCAAAAAGAAAGCTTTCAAGCTTTTTCATTTCTTTTTCTTGCTCAATCTCAATCTGCTTTTCCTTTTCCTTCTTTCTCTTTTTCAACCTAGAGATTTCAGAATCAGATTCCAACCCATTCTCAATATCTTTGCTATTTTCATGAATTGAAGGATCATCATCATCCCGTTTAGCCTTCACCCTGTTTCTAGACACTGGATTTTGAGATATCAAACTCATTTTTTTTCTCTTTTGAAGGGTCTGGAAAATCAAACAATTAATGAGAAAAGGTTCGTAAAGCTAGCCCTGAACAGCTATAACTTAATTTTAATCATTAAAAGGGAAACATCCATAAAAGCAAATTAAAACAACCTTGATGAGTGATAAATCAGTAAAGAAAGGGAAATATAAGGAAAGAAAAAGGGAACGGCTTAAGGCTTACCTGGGTATTGTTCTTCTGAACCTCAATGAAGAGTAGAAGGTAGAGACAAGCTTGTGTTGTTTCTGCTGAAGAGAGGCGGCTGCTGCTGCTCAAAGGGAACACACGGTCGAGAGGGTTGGAGTTATCAAGTGAGTTGGAATACCAAAAAGGACCATGACTGCTTGGGTTGGGTTGGGTTGGGTTGGGTTAGGTTCTTACCTAATACTTGTCGGCCCATTATCATTCGATTTTATTAATTTCTTTGTTTAAACCCCAATTTTTAAATGTAATGGATGTATTTTTTATTTTCTTCATTTTTTTTTTAATTTTTAGGATCGGTTTGTTTAAACGAAAAATTACTTGTGAAAATTATTTTTCACGTTTTTAAATGTTTGGCAATTAAAAAAAATATAAAATCAACAAGAAATGGTTTTCTGGACAAAGCTTGATAATTTCCCCATTAAAGCAGCAACTTTTCTCCTTCTCTCTCACGGTCTCACTAGCTCGTCTCCAACAATATAGCTAACAACCTTCGCAAACCAAGCAAACTAACAACTCCAGTGATCAAGATCAGTAACCACCTAGAAAGCTTTGCAGACTTGCAGATTTGCAGCCAACAAGAAAGCTTTGCAGCCGACTTCAATTGCAGATTTGCAACCAACAAGAAAGCTCCTCCTTGATCTGCCTTATCAAGTTTTATGGGTTTTTATGGGTTATAATCTAAAGTTAATCTAGCCAAGAATCCAAAAAAATCCAATCTTTTTCTGAAATATTGTTTTTTTTTTGTGCTTATTTTATGGATTTTTATGAATTTGAAATGGATATGTTTTAAGTTAAAAGAAAAGTTTAGAAGAGAAGTCGAAAGGAAAGAGAAGATGAAAAGTGAAAAAAATATTTGTATTTTCGGTTGAAACAAACGTCAGAAAAAATTTTTTTTAAGTGATCCAAACACTCGGAAATTATTTCTTTTTCGAAAAACATTATCTTTTATTTTCTGAAATTTGATTTCCGATTATCAAAGTTTAGTTTGTTTCGTGAAAAATCATTTTTAAAAAATATTTACATTTTATGAATTAAAAATTTTATATTATTAGAATAAATTAAAAAAAATATTTTTTATTGTTTACATATTTTTTAAATAATTTATTTTTTAAATAATATTAATATAATTATTAAAATATATTAAAATTATTTATTATTAAAATTATTAATATTAAAAATAATTATATTTTAATAATAATATTTAATATTAAAATATTATGTTAATATAAAAATATTTAAAATAAAATTATTTACTATTCTTATATTATTTATTAATATATTATAATATTATTTATTAATAATAGTTATTAATATATTATATTAATAGTATATTATTTATTAATAATATATTATTTATTCATATATTATTATAATATTTATTAATTAAAGTAATATTATTATTATAATATTATTATTAATATATTATAAATATTATTTATTAATGTATGATTTATGAATACAATATTATTTATTAATAGTAATATATTAGTATATATTTATTTATAATAATATTTATTATATATTATTTATTAATATTATATTTTATTAATATATAATAATATATTATTAATATATTATTATTTATGAATATTATAATATTTATTATATTTTTATTAATAGTATATTATTTATTCATATATATTATTTATCATATATTGTAATATAATATAATTTATTAATATAATATTTATTTTTAAGTAAAATTATGCTCAAAAGTATTAATAAATAGTTATATTAATAGACAAGTTTTTAAAAAATATATTTTTTTTAAATCCATAAGATAATTTTTTTTAAAAAAATTATTTTTCATTGATTAATAAGTCTTTTTTCATTTACTAATTAATTTTTTATCAAATAAATATCTAAAATATAAAAATTATTTTTTTAAAATCATTTTTTGCGAAACAGATAGAGCTTAGTTTTTTTTCTTTTTACTCTTTTTCAAATTTTAAACTTTGTTTATAACTTCTTTTTTATTTTTTAGTTATTAAAAATTATTTAAAATTTAGTATTTTGATTAAATGACAAAACAACTCATAAATTTAATTAAAAAGCTAAACTAATCATAGCACTAGAGTTATTTCAATAAAATATTTCAAACATATTCAGCATAATAAAACCCACCTATTTCACTGGTCTAATTATTACAGGTACATTTGGATAAATAATAAAATTAATTCTAATAAAATTAAAAATAATGATGAAAATAAAATTAATTATTATTGTGCTAAAATTAGAATTAATAGTAAGATATACATTTGAAGTAAAAACAGTAGTGATGAAGTAAATTATTATGAGAATAAAAATTTCATTAAAGATATTAGATTAAAATTTTGATATAATGAATTTATTTAAAGTTTGAATATAATAATTTTTATATTTAATGCTCTTAATAATCATTAGATTAAAGTTATTTACTCATATTAAATTAAAAATTAATAGTATTTATGTACTTTATTATTTATGTAATTATTTATTTTAATTAATTACTTAATTATGAATATGTTTATTTATTATAATCAATTTTATTTATTATATTAAATCAATAAAATTTTTAAAAAAATTTTAAATAAGAAATGAAAAAATATAAAATAAATCAAGTGCATTATATATTAAGCATAAAAAAAAAGAGTAACATTGAAAAAATATGGTTACAATTGGGAAATAAAATTTTCACTGGACTTAAAAGCTCCGATGACAAGATAGGTTTGGTGCAATAGAAATAGCTTATATGTGCTTCACTGTATGGGCATTTGGATTGCTGTAATATGGATCGGTTTACAATGATTTGAAACGATTGAAATGGAATAAATAAATAGATATATATATATGAAGTAAATTATTTTATGATAATTATTTAATTAAAAAAATACATGAGCTATGTGATGAGATATATAATTATTAAAAATAATTTTTATATTTAATTTTATTTAAAATATATTTTTAATTTTGTTATGCTAGTATATATATATTTTTGTTAAACATGCATATTAATGCCAAACTATAGGATTACCTAGCTATATTTAAGAATATATAATTTGAGTTTTTACCTAAATTTTGTATATTTCGACTATTATGAGCATTTTATAATTATAGGGGTATAATTATTTTTTACCACAAAAGATGATCCACTGTTGGTTTAAGGTTATTTTGGTCATTTGATTTGAGTTGATGTGATATACCAAAATGACATGATAAGCCGAGTTAATATGGTAAACCAACTTGATTTCTTATAATACACCTGACTAATGCCAACCTAGCAAGAAACTAATCCTTTAGGTATAAATATTCCTTCATTCCCTCTAGGTGGGGAGGTCACTCATTTTCTCTCAATTCTCTTATTTTTCAATTTGCTATTTCTCTCTTCCTTTACTTCATTGACTTAAGCGTAGAAATATAAATGTTAGATACAACTCTAACCTTTGCTTTTAACCAACCTTGTGCCTGTGTTTTGCTAAGTTTATAACAACACCATGAAAAATAGTAGTATAAGAGGGAAGTCATCCAACAGTAGCAAAAGCCTCTAATAACCAACTCAGCTAGAAACTATGGTGGCCAACCTGGTTATAGCCAAGGTGGTAGCCAACCTGAGAAAAGATAAAAAAAAAGGATTAACTATTCTCGGCCTTAGTTTTCAAATGCCTTCGACTAAAACCTATGATGGTATATCTAATCTTTTTAATCATTTAGATTTATTTTTTATTAATATGTTGATACAATGAGCAATATCATATAATGAAATTCAATATTGAAATAGCAAAAGTGAATGAGCTCTACTACGACAATATTTAAAGCTACAAAAATGGATGAGCTTTGTAAAAGAGCTCAACTCTATGAATTGCCTTTATGAAAGCCCAACTCATCAAATTGTCTTTCTAAAGGCTTAGCTCAATCACTTTTGCAAAAGAATTTAGTTCGACAAATTATTTTATAAAAGTCCTACTCAGCAAATTGCCTTTTTAAAGGCTTAATTTAGTCATCCTGACCAAAGAGCTCATCTAAACAAATTATGTTCATAAATATCCAGCTCAGTAAAATAGCTAATCTCGACAAATTATCTTCATAAATATTTAGTTCAGCCACTACGACCAAAATGCTCATATTGACAAATTACCTTCATAAAGGCCCATATCGATAAAATATCTCATTTCAACAAATTGCCTTTATAAAAGCCCAACTCAATAAAAAAAAAAACTCATCTCAGCCATCTCAATTAAAAAGCTCATCTCGATAAATTGCATTCATAAGAGCTCAATTCAGCAAATTACTTTCCTAAAGGCTTAGTTAGGCCACCTTGGCCAAATAGTTTTATTTAAACAAATTGTTTTCATAAAAGCTTAGTTCAATCACATCAGCCAAATAGCTTATATCAACAAATTGCCTTCATAAAGGTCCACATCAACAAAAGATTAGCTTGACAAATTACATTTATAAAGGTTTAGCTCAATCACCTCAATCAAAAAGCTCATCTTGACAAATTATCTTCATAAAGGTTTGTTTCGATAAAAGAGTTCAATTTAACAAATTACTTTCTTAAAGCTTAGTTTGCAAATTGTCTTCCTAAAAGCTTAGCTTAGCCATTTTGACTAAAAATCTCATATAAACAAATTGCCTTCATAAAGGCTCGCTTTGACAAAAAAGTTTAGTTTAACAAATTACCTTCACAAATGCCCGTTTAACAAATTGCCTTCCTAAAGGTTTAGGTTGCCATCTTAGCCAAAGCACTTATCTAGAAAAATTACCTTCATAAAAGCCTAACTTAGCAAAAGCACTCATTTCGACAATTGCCTTCATAAAGGTTTAATTCAGCCACCTCGATCAAAGAGTTCATTTCAATAAATTACTTTCATAAACACATGCTTTGACAAAAGAATTTAGTTCAATAAGTTACCTTCATAAATGCTCAACTCAGAAATTTTTCTTCCTAAAGACTTAGTTGAGTCACTTAAATCAAAAAGCTTATCTAGAGAAATTATCTTTATAAAGGCTTAGCTTGGGAAAAAGAGATTATCTTGACAATTGCCTTTATAAAGGTTTAATTTAGCCACATCGACTCAAGAGCTCATCCAGACAAATTACCTTAATAAAGGCTCAGCTTAGCAAATTATCTTCCTAAAGGCTTAGCTCGACCATCTTGACCAAAAAGCTCATATAAACAAATTGCCTTTATAAAAGCCTAACTCGACAAAAATGCTAATCACAAAAAATTATCTTCATAAAGGTTTAGCTTAACCACCTTAGTAAAAGTGCTCATTTTGATAAAATACCTTCACAAAAATTCAATTTGGTCAAAATTTTTTAATAAATGATTAACTCGATCAAAATATCTTTATAACATTTAGCTCGATCAAAAGGCCTTTATAAAAGTTCAGCTTAGCTAAATTTGCTTTACAAAGGCTCAACTCAACCAAAATACTTTCACAAAAGATTAGTTTGGCTAAAATGCTTTCATAAAGGCTCAGTTCGACTAAAAACCTTAAAAAATGCTTAAATCGACCAAATTTTTTTCATAAGGATTAGCTTAGCAAAAATCTTTCATAAAGACTCAGCTCGACTAAAAGCCTTCATACAAGCTCAGCTTAGCTAAATTTCCTTCATAAAGAATTAGTTAAGTTAAAAAGCTTTCATAAAGGCTTCATTCAACCAAAATACTTTTATAAAGGATTAGCTCTGTCAAAAAACCTTATCAAAAGACTAGCTCAAGTCAAGGCTTAGCTTAGTCAATATGTCTTAATAAAGTTTCATCTTTAGCCAACATACCTTCATAATCAACTTAACTA